CTTTTTCCCCTGGTCTTGAGACTTTTTTCCTGGATTGCTATTGAACTGTCGACGTTCGCGTGCTGTTTTTGAATTCTCGGGTTTCCTTGCCCACTGATTCGCTTTGCCTCCGTAGCCGTGTGCTTGAGTTTGCTGTAGTCTTGGGGTACCAAATTGGTTTCGCTGTTGATATTGGCGTCTTCTTTCGACGTCCGCCGTTCTTCTACTTTCAAACTGGATTGCTAGCTCAAATAACTTTTCCAGTGTAGTCGGATTTCTTAATTCAATAAAGCTTGCACTTGGGGCAGTGACCTCGGCAAAATCACTTGAATTATTTCAGGATCCGGACGGTTTCCATACAAGAGTTTGAAGACGTGAATTTTTCTTAAATAAAGCTTGAGAGATTTTTCGATTCTTTGCTGATATATACTGAAAAGTTCCGTTTCTAATTTCGCACGATCGCTTACAACAGGGAAGGCTTTTAGTAGGGCAGTCTTGAAATTCTCGTAACTATAGGTGGGACTTCCTGCTTGACCCAAGAGACTTCTGCCTATACATTTGAACCAGTTAAGCGCTTGGCCCCTCAAAGCGCTGGTAGCTAAGGTAACTTTTTGAAACTCGTGCACGGGGTAGAGCATGAAGTGGTCATCCAATTTTTCCAAAAAACTGGTTACCGGTGAGTTTCCATAAATAAATGTTGCTTCTCGTTTCATCGAAGCGCGCATGGTCTGGACGATGTAAACCAAATCCTTCCAGGGCGGCAGCTGGCATTTCTGGATTCTGAGCCGTTTCTCTGCAGGCAGCACAGGTTCTTCTTGAAACTCGGCCATGGTTATTCTTCTTCGTTGGGCGCCACTATCAGGTTCAATGTTCCTTCTTACCTTCTTCGGGAACATGCAAGGACCTGACTCGGAACAGAGAGCTTACTAAAGCTATGTTCACTAATTGTGGGAAGTTGACAGGATACACAAGAAGGGTATATAAAACCCTTTATTTTTCTCTATTTACAAGAACTTCCGTACTTCGGAATACACAGACCCGCCACTTGGGGTCTTACGTAAAATATAAAAATAGAACTAAACTCTAATTTAACTTTAAAATAATAAACGTGGAAGATTGGCCTTATATTAACAGGAAGCGTATGTAGTACAGAGAACTGTGAACACTACAATACGTTTAAAATTTATCAAGAGGATTAAAACCTCTGGCCTGGAAGGCAACAAGCAACTGCGTAAAACTTCTAAGGTAAGCGGCCTGCTTCGACTCACTGCTTCCTCTCTCTCGCTTGGCAAAAAGCCACAACTTAAATACTTGGCGTTCGCCAGACAAACTTTGCATAAAAACCTTAACGCTTATAATTCTGGCCGGAAGTAGAAAATAAGAAGTGATAGTAAAGATTTAAAATAAAATAAACGTTAGTAAAACTTAAGATCCTTACAATGTTACCAATAAGCGAAGCAGGTCGTTTCGACGCCGTACGTTTCGACGCAGGGGCAGTTCGACGCCATATTTTTTTCATATTTTTATTTATTTTTAGAATAAATATGAAGTAATGTAAATAAGTAATATGACTGATTTTTATTTATTGAATTAGCGATTTTTTGCATGCATATTTGAAATAAATATATGTGTGCATATGTGTGAAAGTGTTCTAGATTTTTGTTCGTGTCCCAGATTATTGAGGAGCCCCCTTGCCAACGTCAAGGCCCCAGGACATGAGAGAAGGGTTTTTATAATTTATTTATTTCACAAAACAGCATCAAAAAGGCAAAATACACAAATGGTAAATAAACATATGGTTACAAAGTAGTTATATATTTATTTACAGATAAATAGATTACAGAAATAAGATTACAGATAAATAAGATTACACATAAATAGGATTACACATAAACAAGATTAGAGATAAATAAGATTACATAACAGAACTGTTATTATAATAATCCATTGCAAAATTATGCGGCACACCTTTCAGGTATTCCATTATTTCTCGATTTTCAAAATCTTCAACTATTACTTTAATTCTCATATCAGCTCGCAGATACCTATTCCACTTGTGCGGCGGTTCATCTCCACGTACAAATTGTTCATAACATTGATCAACTGATTTTTGAACACGCCTGAGACCATCTATGAATTCCCATAATGTGAGGTGTGAAATACCAAATAATGATGACACCAAATTTATTTGAATGATGATGCAAACGTATTTTAAAAATAAATAAAAATACGAAAAGTATGGCGTCAAACAAAAGCAAAAAAAGTATGGCGTCGAACTGACCCCGCGTCGAAACGACCTCGTGTCGAATTGACCACGCGTCGAAACGTTGGCGTCGAACTGACCTGTACCGACCAATAAGAATTTAGATGATAAAATCAAATATGCACTAAGCATACATTTAAAGCCACAGTGGAAAAAACTAGCAAAATATCACGTTACCTTCTTTTATACTTGGGATATTTGGAGAATTTTTTTCTTCTTTTGTATTACCTGCAGTTATTACTGAATTTATGTATTTTAATACTGACTTGTTCCTTCTGGTAGTCACAATACTTACATTTGAAACGTAACATAATTATATATGAAGTTTAAATGCTTTGTTTGTTTCTTTTTTATCAATATTTTCATGTGAGTATTAGGAAATTTGCCTATACGTGTGCCAACAATCTATACTTGTTTCCAAACATTAAGGAAAAATCACGAAAATAGCGATAACTTGTTCAAAAATAAGCCAATCAGTATAATATTTGAATATGTTTTTTAATAAGAGTGGCTGAGTAAAGCTACACTATGAAAATTAGTGGCGCTGCAGTCGGAATACGTCATCTGCAAAAAGCATCAAATTCATGTTTGAGAGCAAGCCTGCAAATTTTGATATGATACTGAGATAAGAAATCTAGGATATCCAATTCAAAACAATCACCTCTAGGCATCATTTGCTGGAAGGACTGCAGTGGAGATCTATTGGGAGATTAGAGGCAGGGCAAAGTCAGACAGAAGTGGCCAGATGTCTAAATGTGAGTCCTTCTGTGGTTTATAGTCTTTGGCAACAATTTCATAATGATGTTTCACATATTCGACATCCAGGAGTTTGAAGCAAGGACAGTCAACAGCTACGACAAGCGCCGATGGCCGATATTTTTTGTGAGCACGAAGGAATAGATCCGCAATTCCGACTTAACTCAGATCCTTCCTTGTAGAAGCCAAAGAAAGATTGAAGGTCAACGTCAAGAAAAAAAATCTATGCATAAGTCAACCAGCCATTTGGATAGCCGTTCACGTCACGTCATAGAAGGCAACTTTAATGACGGCACGTCAACTTGTCCATTGGACGGCTGATCAATAGAGAGCTGATCTCTTTACGGATAAGTCGAGGTTTGTCCTCCAAAACTACAGTAGGCGTTATTTGATTTGTAGAGAACCTAAAACCCATTATCATCTACCAAACATCCGTAAAAGAGATGCATGCGGAAGAAGCACTGTCTCTGTTCGGGTGGTATCTCTTTGGGTGGACGTACAGACCTCCACATAGAATCATGAATGCCGAAGTCTATAGAGGTGACATTCTTGGTGCGTATATGCGCCCTTATGCTGGGGCAACAGCTGAGAATTTTCTGCTACAGGACGACAGTTCTAGACCGCATAGGGCTCGCATCGTGGAAGATTAGCTTCAGCAGCAAATAATTCAGTCTATGAAGTGATCAGCTCGATCACAGGATCTAAATTCTGCCTAGCAGGATTGGGATGTTTTAGGAAGACGTATAGCTGCTCTCAGTCCTCCTTTTCAGAGCCTTGCCAGGCTTGCAACTGTTTTGCAAGAACAATGGCTCTCACTTCCTACGGAACTGGTAGAACCATAATTGACAGCATCACACATCTCAGTGTGTGTTGTATTGCTCCTAAGGGAGATCATACTTCATATTGAAAATAGTTTTCCTATACCAAACTGACATATCCGATTTGTTCATTTTATACAGCTGCTAGTTTCTAAAATACAGTAATTTTCTGATGATTTTTTTCATGTTATATTATAACTTACTACGTGTTGCATGCTATGGATCAGTTTCATTAAATTCTACATGTAACTTTTTGAGTAATCATCATTTTTGCAATTGTTCCATAATTAATAATAAACAGTGTATTTCCCTAGAGCAGCGATTCTCAACCGGAGGTACGCAGGAGAAAAATTGGTGGCGTGCAAAATATTTTTAACTACTAAATTCAACAATGTCGTGAAGGAAAAGAACAATTGATAGGCATTTCCTACTATCGAACTCTAACTGAAGATTTCAAAAATAACACACTTGTTAACTTTTTGCTGAACCGAAAAAAAAATTAAAGGCATTTGAAATAAAGCTATTAAGTTTTTATTGCCTTTTTGCGCAACCAATTTGTGTGAACAAGGATTTTCTTCTATGTTATATTTGGAAAATAAATGCAGAACAAAATTTAAAGTGGATCCTAATTTACGGTTAAAACTAAGTGATATAAGACCAGACAGACATAAGGAAATTGATCTCTCGTAAACAGGCCAAAATTTCACACTAAATTTTATAATTAAATTATATTTTAAATTTCGATTGCAAAAATGGTAATCAATTTTTAATCCAATATTTTATGTGTGCAAATTTAATATAAATAGTCAATAGGTTGTGCAAATGGTAAAATAATTTTTTAATATTTCTATTGAGAAATTGAAAAATAATCATTGCAAAATGTAGTAGTGGTACTAAAGTTTTTCAGTTTATGTTTAGATGGTACGCGTTAATCCGCGATGTTTTTAGTTTTTTTTTCTAGATGGTACGCGATGGTTGAAAACCATTGCCCTAGAGAAATGCGGATACAGGTTTTTGCATCCCTTTAATTTATCTCTTAAATGTCACTTACACGTCAAAACTACAGTACTTCATCTTATTCCCTTTTGAGCAGTTTTAATGGTTTATTTTGAAGTTCATAAATTCAGTACTTGTTATGTATTTTCTTTAACATAAATAAAAGTTACTCTTTTAATTTGATCTAGGTCAATGGAATAGATGTTCACAATCGAGAACAAGCTGTCGCTCTCTTCTCTAGCAAGGAACCAGAAATAACGCTTCTACTTTCTCGACCACGAATGCAGGTAATTCCTTACTCTTTTGGAGAAACATTTACCTATGTCCCCAAATCGATATGAAGATGGATCTCTTGGGGGTAAAATGGTTTGGATACCCTCCTTTATGCCTTGCGGTACTGACGTCACGTGTTTGTGGTGGCTAAATGTTTTGATAAAAGGCTTTTGGTAATCCTAATGGAGGTATGCTTTATGACAAGTTACAGCACTGGCGAAATTTTGAAGAAGTCTATTGTTTATTATTGCTGATGAAACTTGATACGTAGTGCTTGTTAGTAATGAATGCATTATTAATTTTACGTTGTTTTGTATAAGCGCATGGGATAAATTTTTTATTTGCTTGTTACTTTTTCTTTTCTTTTTGCATTAAATTAAAGTGGACATATTCTTCATCCGTTTGAAATTTAAGTGAAGTAAAATTTTGGAAAATGGTTTACCGTTATCGACATGATACGTCACTTTACTTGTCAGATATTAGTGCATGCGGGTAGAAAATCATCCCCATTTATCAAGTTGCCTGCAATTTGTGCACGAAGCAACAGATTTTTTGTGGTATAAAATCGTTCAGCATCCACAACTTTTTAGAGGTGCAGAATTCTCTAGTTTGATTCCTTAGTCAACGTTAAATGTAAACTGTTATTCACTCACAATCAGATGACTCTAGAGATCATCCCTAAATAGATCCAGATTATGATCTTCATAAGATTAAATTATGTTCCGCGTAAATGATTTAATATAGTTGAATGTTTAAGTTGCATACGGAATGAAAAATGATTGTCAGGCATCAGTGGGTTTTAATGCAAATTGAAGATGAATTGCTAGAATGTTTTAATGTACCATAAGATGCGCAATACAAAATGTTTTTTCTAAGTAACATTATTTTATATTAAATATAAATTAATGCCAGTAATCCTATGCTATTCCATTATAAAATTTGTATGATTATATCAATTAAATACATTAAAATGTGCATTCATTTATGTAATTATTGATGCAATTTGTTTTTAATATAATGAGCTGTTTTCTTTTCTTTTTTTATTTTTTCAAAATCATATGGATCAAAGAATAATAGTCTGCCCTCTCTCTTTTATCTTGCAAATGCACCGCATTTTATTCTGATACATTTTAGTTATATTTTTATAGTGTATTTTAACTACATTTTACTTCCTTGGCTATTTTAATACTTTTTATGTATTTAACTGCATCAAATTTGCATCCAGTAACACATTATACTCTCTACAGCTTTAAAAGTAACATTCTTACCACATTTTGTTCTTCTTAGCATATACTGTATAATACATTATAATAACATCTACTTGTGTGGTGCACTTGGATAATTCTTCTAATACTTTTACAAAGAATGTGAAATAATCTGATATCCGAAAAAAAGTTCATAAAAAATAAAAAAAAGTTTATATAAAATACATATTTAACATGTATATATCTCAATTATTTTACTGCGATTATAAGACAAATGGCGAAAAATATTCTTATGGGGAAGGTTATGATATTTAAACTGATCTGACGTTCAGGTGTCTAATGAAAATTCTCTATGTACAAGCATGCACGAAAAACGAAACCAAGATATATCAATAAGCTATGATCACACTGTCTAGTGAAATACTGTTTTATCAATAAATTTTCAGGTTTTTCTGTTTTATATTTCTTATGAAATAAATGAAGGATTTTTTTTTTTTTTTTATTAAACTGGCAAGTAAAACAGGAAGTAGGAGTATTTTATTTGAGCAAAATGCTTTTTTGTTCTCACCCTGCCATTTCTGATTCATAGCTGTAAACTTTCCCTATTATTCTCCAGTTAATGCTAAATATTATAAAAATCTAAAGTCAAAACTATTTTATGATTTGAATCACTTGGCAGATATTGTACGGTAGACTGTTGAGTTCTGTAAGGATGATAAAAGTAGCATCCTTACTTTACTGAAATACTTAAGCTTTAAGTACTGAAAATTTGTTACTGAAAAACTTTTTATGTAAGCACAAATTGAGATTCGTCTGAGGTTCGTAAAGTTATTTTATTAGCTGCATTTAATTGTTAGGGTAATTTCGTTTATAATGCCGTTAAAATTTGGAAAATTCAGCTAAAACCGAAATATTTAAATTATTTTTTCAGAAAAAGCTTTACTTAGCTTTAGTGTTCCATATCGTGATACTAAGACGACCAAGCGTGAATCATACTTTCGACACGAACTAAAAGGGAAATATCCTTGAAGTTTACTTCCTTAGAAAAATACTCCGGTATGCTGATAAACACAAATCTCTCATGGAACCTCATGTCATGACCTCAATATGCTACTTGGAATGTCTGTAACAATGGCGCTTTTATTACACTTTTCAACGAAAGAATTGAAATCTCTTTTAATTTTTTACCATGAAATACATGTTTTACTTTCAGACTCAGAACATACTTGCTTTCAATGGAAACATAGCACATTTTTAAAAATAGTTTATTGAAAGGCACATTTTGGTAGTGCTTTTTGTTTTATAAATAATTTGTGTGTTAATTTTTTCTTGCACCTTTATAGAATGTCATTATTACTTTTAAGTCCTCCATTCAGCCTTTTACCAATGCATTAAACACCATTTACTCGTGTCTTTCTTGCATCCATGCGTAAAAAAGAATAAAGAAATTAATTCACAGATATTACACGATTTTCCTTCATAACAGGGAGATGATGAAGAAGACGAAGAAGAGGAGGATCATCTGAGGCTAGAAGACTTTTCCAAGGAAATTTACATGGTTTTGTATAATGCTTTATGCTTTCAACTTCGGAATTAAAATTTATTACCGTATATGTTACTCTAATTTTGAAATTATTGCATTGTTTAAGTTAAAAAAATCTTACCGTTTTTACCATACTAAATGCGTTTTCATTAAACTAGACTGTAATTAACTTCGTAATTATCTAAAATTCTAAAATAGATTGTAATTGCGGGTTTTAGAAATTAAAATTAAACATGAAGATAAGAACATTTTTTTAAAATTAATTTAAAGCAGCAACTGAAGGGATTTGGGATTTACTGGAGAGATTTAAGTTTATTCATTAAAAATAAGTTACTATAGCTAAACCATAATAGAAATTAAATGCCTGCAAATCTATGAGAGATTTATTGCTATTTAAACTGATTACTGTTAATTAAGTCAAATTATTAACCACATTTATCGAATATTTTAATAATTTGGTCTGAATTTTATGACTTTTCTGTCTATAAATTTTATGTAAAGTAATAAATATTACAGTGCCTCAATTTAATATGTATAACAATATGTATTTTAATTTATTGTATATGATAGATACCCACTTCATTTTTTTCAGCTATCTTTCATTAAAAGTATATTAATTAAAGTGATTTGTGATGATTTAAATCAATACAAACCTTAGTTAATCACCTAGACATCTACTGAAACTGTTATGATATGTAATTTTCTTTGTTTAGCCATTCAAAAAATTCATTTCAACAATCGATGGCTGCATGTAGTTTTGTTTCAAAATTATTCTTTATAACTTTGTTTTTATCTACACTACTTTCGTGATTTGTAATGCATACTTGATAGTGTCAGAAGAGAAGAGATGCGCAAGGGGTACTTAAATACGCCTCGAGACGAAATTCCTCGCGAGCAGTTTAAAGGTAAAGGAAGAGAAGTGAAAAGCCCTTGGACTCATCCCACCAGGCGATTCTGCCTCAAAACTGGGACGGAGCTAGGCAAAGTCTCACTGTCACCTATAAGTTGTACAAAGCCCATGCCAACGGCGGACGCAATCCTGCGCTCCTCACCTCACTAAAATGTTTGGACTTGATCTAATTTTACTATCAGATAAATGAAATAAGTTACACCAATAGGGAAGAAACGTAGCGAAAATCATTTAAGAGAAAAACTTATCAACAAATTAGATTGACAATAGAGATTACAAATATTACTTTCCATGAACTTCATTTAATTCGGAATTTTAAAATTATTTTGAACACTCATATGTTTTTCAGTCTTTTTAAAATTTAATTCCCATTTCATAGCTTATTTTACAAGATTAAATAATTGAAGAATTTCGTGAAAACAATTGCTTAAACAAAATGTGGTCTACACCATATTAAACAACAGGTGTAAATTAGGCTGTCAATGAAGCTCGTCTCCACAGCATTTTTCTCGCCGTTGGTCAGCAGTAGAGCTGGCGCTCCATAGCATTTAGACATAGTAATAATTTATATCGAAACTACCTTTATTTAGTTGTAGTATATAATAACGACTTAACTCCTTCCCTCCGAGAATCGACGTCCTAGGTGGTTGCTTACCCCACTATCTATCATTGTTTCGTCAAGATAAGTATACACTCTGTACTCGTATGGTTAATTGCAGGTTCAGTCTCACTGTGCTTAAATGACTGCTTTAAGATAATAGTTTGAGAACTAAGTTTTTCATTCATAGTGTAGAATTTTACGTACTGTAAATAAAAAAGAAAATGGAGCTTTTATTTATTACAAATATGAAATTATAGCCGATATTATATTTATTATATATTACATTACTTTATATATCCTTTATTATATATATATTTAGATATCCCTTATTATATTTATATAATGTTGTATGATCCGGTAGCACGCTGGACCGGTATTTCAGAGGTCCGTGGTTCGATTCCCGGCGAAGGCGGTTGCATATTTTTCATCTTTTGTGCTTCCAATTAACCTAATGACTCTACAAGTGGCACCCGAACTAAAAGGGTTGTGGATGATGATTCTCCGCACCCAGGATTTGGCGACTAGGTCCCCTAAAACCCTAGTCGCCCTTTAAAAAGAGGAGTATATAAGGTATTTCTCCCGCCTTCCCTGGCATGCCTTCGTGGTGTAACGGTAGCACGCATGAACCCTTGGCGGGTATTCCAGAGATCCGCGGTTCGATTCCCGGCGAAGGCGATGCTAATTTTTCATCTTTCCTGGCTTCCAATTAAGTATCTAATGTAACTCTACAAGTGGCGCCCGAACTAAAAGGGTAGTGGATGATGATTCTCCGCACCCAGGAATTGGCGGTTGAGGTCCTCTAAAAACACCAGTCGTCCTTTAAAAGCGGGCGTACATAAGGTATTTCTCCCGCCTTCTTAGGTATGTCTTCGTGGTGTAACGGTAGCACGCTGGGCCGGTATTCCAGAGGCCTGTGGTTCGATTCCCGACGAAGGCGGTTGCATATTTTTTATCTTTTCTGCTTCCAATTAACCTAATGACTCTACAAAAGTTATAACTGAAACTAGCGATACACCTTAATTCCTCTTTCTCTCTTCTAAAAATTGTAATAACTTTTCTGGACTGCGTTATTTCCAGATCAGTCCATCTTGCATGGCTTGCATAACGCTGATAGCGTAGCTAATTCGGAACTTGAACTCAAAATTTTGAGAATTGAAAACCTTTTCATTTCGTAAGCTTCCATTATTGGGTAACTGCTCATTTTAGCTTCAGCCCTGTTGCAGTCAAAACACTACTTCGTTTCTTTTGCTTTTTCGTGCTGCTAACTACGTCGTTATTTAAAATGTGATACTCTTTATAAAATCGTGGGGTGCGTATTGCACCCATGATCAGATATGAAGAAAAATATATTCTCGATAATTAGTTCGTATCCAGCAGTAACAATTATATTCATTTCGGCCACGTCTGTCTGCAAGTGTCTCCTTCGAGTATCATCTTTCTAACTATGTAAGAAAGTCTCTCAAAGTTATAATGCAGAGAAGCATCATTAATCCATTGGAGCTTACCCCTAGTCATCATACTACGCATACATACAAATATATAAAAGCTGTAGTGAAATGAATAATTAATAATTTTAAAACACGAAGGTAATTTCCTGACGCAATCAAAAAAGAACATATTTACAAAAAGATTATTTTAAAAACTGAAGGGGAATTATAATGTCTTAATGATAGACATATACAAAAATATACAAGATAAAAATATATGTTTAAATATATATATATAAACATATGAAGTATATGTTATATATGTATATATAACATATATATATATAAACAACTCAACTCATAAAAGAAGTTAGGGAAATGCATATTTCTTAGTAGTAGTTAAATTTCCACCGCAGCCATGTAGATCTAGTCATTTTCATTTTTTAGCTACTCTATAGGCTATTTTGTTCTTTAACCTATACTCATTTTTTTAAATTTCTGTTTTTGTTTAAAATTAGCTTCTGGCTTATCCTTTTCTGTTTTCTACTGTCTATTCATTCTTTAAGCGGCAAGTAACGAGAATAGTGTACAACTAAATTCTTATAATTCGACCAAAATTGTTCAGTCGTATTAGAACATTTCTTCACATTTGATAAGGAGTTCGTTAAATCATCATACTGCTTAAATATGTAAACTTCATATGTTAATTTATCTGCATACATTTCATGATACAATCTTATTCTCGTCCATACGAGACAGTTTACCTTATTAAATACTCCAACAAAGCCATCCTTTATTCTCACATACTTTGCCAAAACTCATTGAATGGAAAAAACGTCTTATTCCTCTTTAGTATGCATATAATTATCCTTATTCGCTACTTTTATCAGCTTCTGTCTCCCGTGTTTAAAACAATTGATCTTAGCTGCAATGAGAAAGTTTAATAGGTACAATGTATTAGAAAATAAACGAGAATCCTCACAAAGCTTAGAGTTAATGTTACAAGTTAAATGTTCGAGTAAAGCTTAATTTTTTTCCGTAGTAGCATATCATATTTTAAACCATTTAAATGCAGTTCTCACTGAATTTACAATTTGAGGTGACCGAGATACAATGAGGGCAGGACACAAGTTTCATATTTTAAAACAAAAGTAAAAGAATCCTCAAGGTTCTTGATTGGGATTTATTATTTTTTGCTATAGTCGAAATTATTAAGGGAAATGTTGCGTGAAAACCGAAATTAGCTGTTTTTAATTACATAAAAATTGTAATGATTTGGGTCAGTTACTTTAAGGTGAAAAATTAAATATTTTGGCAATTAATCTGTTTTCTGTAACTTGACGTTTTTATCAGTTAGTTGTCAGTTAAATATCAGTAACTATCTTTGCAAAAACCTGAAAACATGACATAGAGCTGTCTCCTTGCTATTTGTTTCTATACATTTTGTCTTTCACTCACAAAATTTGATTTTATCCTGCTGTATCCAAAAGAGCAAGAAACGCATTTAGACAAAGGAATCATAATACTTCCTAAATATTTCAACCATTTTCGTCAACCCTTGTTACACTTTTAACGTCTAAATAGGATGTTTTTGTGTAAGGGATTAGGTTAAAGTATGTAGAGACATTAAGTATTATTTGGAAACAGGGAAGATGAAAAATGAGCAAAGCCCTCGCCTGGAATCGAACTACGGACCTCTGGAATACGCGCCCAGCGTGCAGACCACTACGAAGGCATACTAAGAAGGCGGGAGAAATATCTTATAAGTAAAATGAATTATTTTTCAATCTAGCAGTTGACATATTCATCATACGTTTCATTAATTAGTAAATTTCTAACCATCAAAACTTTCTGATTCTGATATAATGTCAAACTGCGCATGAAACTAATTTGTATATTGCTTTTTTAAATAATATATTGCTTTTTTGTTATTTTGTAAATATATTCAGTTTGATATCAGATTTTTCATTCTTTTCTCAGATTCGGCAACGCCGAAATGCAGCCGAAGCACAAGAAACAAAATTTAATGCTGAAAAAGATAAGACTTCCAAAACTGATCTTTCGAAAGAATGGGGCTTTATTGGTAATCGTATTTTACTTCCACGAAGTTCAGTTCCTAATTCCGAAAGCATCTGTCAACGGGACTCTTTAAAAGAAGAAGATCGTGTTACCGAAAAGTGTGTGAGCACAAGCACTACCAGTTTGGCAGACGTCAGTCCTGAAAACTTCCCGGCGAAACGTGATCCATTAGATACTGGCCAAGAGCAGTCACAAGACGATTCCAAGTTAGTAACAAACTTTATCTATTTAATATTTTCATAAAAGTAAGTGAGCTTCAAGTGCCGGTCTTCAACTTAGTCAGTTTTTAACAGGACATGTATCCTTCATGACTTAACTGTATCCCTTTAGATGGGTTTCAGATACTTTAAAAAAATCACTACGCTCTGAAACGTATACGGGATTGCATCAGTATCTCACGTAACGTTGGTCTGCTTGTCAGATAGCTGCCGTCAGATATCGCGGGCACAGGCCCTATATGTTCTGCAATTTCGTTAACTAGATCTTGTTTAAGTTAATGCATAGTTTTTTAAATTTTGTTAATTTTTTATGTTTTTATTTAATTGTGTCATGCATTTTAATTTAATTTGAAGTAATTGGATTTAATGCCTTACATTACGAATTATTTAGTTTTTTTATTAGTGTTGATATTTATTGTCACACTTAATGTATTATTAAAGGTCTCATTTTTTTTATTATTTAACTGATTGCCCCATGCATATACATGTAACTCAGTCACAACTTGTACCTCTTTGTGTGTCTGTGCAGCTTACTAGTCGTTCGCTTTGTGGAAACCCACTAAAATGTGAGTTTCATCAATTCATCACTTGCCTTAGTGCTGACCACGCATTCGGTCAGAGCCCAGTAAAATGTGGAAATTGTGCAGGTTCTCCTCATTCGCATTGCACTCTCCATCATACTCTCCTCTCGAACTTTGACTTTTGAAAAAAAATGAAACACATAAGTTTTCTTGATCTTTCCCCAAAGACTGACCTGAGAAACCTGGAATCCAAGAAATTTTGAAGCAAAAGTAGTTCTGCAAGCGGGTCACCTAGTCGATATTTTTCTAAATGGCCTAGGAAATCGGCTGGCCCGTTGTTGGTTGAAAGAAAAGTGAAATATAACTTTTTAAGAAATGTAAGCCATATTAATGTGCATAATTTTCACATGCAGTTATTTCGCAAAACATCCATAAAATCGAGAGCTACGTTTGTTTATGTATATTTTCATTTATATATATTTTATATATGTGTAATTCTTCGTTAAGTTTGTTAATATGAGAGCACACTGGTGTGCAAAAATTAAGGACGAGACGGTTTTTTCAATATAACTTTGTACAAAAGCTTTCCAAATCAACACATTTAATACCGCAAGATCCCCAATACGTAAGGACATGAGTAATGTAAGCAACACTTACTAAAAGAGAAATCAGAGGGATAAAAAGAAGCTTTATTGAAAAAGTAGCATGGAGCGCAATGCGACTGAAGGCCGAAACATCCCTGTGATGGGTGTCCAGCAAGAAACATCAGGTCTTTAATAGGGGATATGGTCTCCCCTGACTCCTAGGCAGGTTTCACAGCGTCTGCACATGCTGAGAATGATGGTGTCAATGAGTTGTTGAGGCATTGCTGCCCATTCGTCTTGCAGCGCCAATCGAAGCTCCGGAATCGTACTGGTGGTAAGGTACGAGCTCCCAAGAGTCTGCCTAGAAAATCCCATACATGCTCGATGGGATTGAGATCCGGAGATCGTGCCGGCCAATCCATACGTTCAATATCTTCACTCTCTAAGAGCTGTTCGGCAGCTACTGTGCGATGACATGGTGCATTGTCGTCCATGAAAAGGAACTGCGGACCCATAGCGCCTCTAAAAAGACGCACATATGGAAGAAGAATCTCGTTACAATAACGGGTCCCGTTGACTGAACCTGCGTCGAAGATGTGAAGGTCTTTACGACTACCAAGCATGATGCCTTCCCAAACGAAAACCGCCACCTTCATACCTGTCCCTTTCAATGATGTTCGAGGGATGATTGCGGCTTCCCCGCTCTCTCCAGATGAGTATGCGATGAGAATCGCTACTCAGACTGAATCTGCTCTCATCTGTAAAGAGTACTCGTCCCCATTCATTGTCTCTCCAATTCCGGTGTTCCCGGCACCACAGAGAACGCCTTCTCCGATGGGCAGGCGTTTAGAGGTACACACCGTACAGGGCGTCGTGCAAACAGACCACCACCGTGCAGTCTTCTGGCCACGGTAAAACGCGATATCGGTCGTCCAGTCGCCTGTGTCGTGTGTCTAGCGATTTTCTCTCCCGCTGTCTGCCGCCTGTTTCTTCTGGCCTGTAAGGCAATATACCGGTCATCTGCGGGTGTGGTTCCTCGTGGACGACCACTACTAAACCCCCGGATAGCTGGTCCTGTAGTTTGAAATTGTCTCCAAAGTTGTGAAACGATGCTGTGAGCAATTCCGAACTCTGCAGCCACACTTGTCACACTGCGGCCTTCCTCCAACTTCCCAATGATTCGACCTCGGGTAAAAGCATCCAGATGTCGTCTAACAGATAGATTATTCGCCATTTCTCGCTGAGGCAGCAACTCGGTGTGATTTTAACTGCTATACGGCGTGCAATCTCTTTGCCAGAAATACTGATCTTACACCGAAAACATGCTTTATACTACTCAGACACTCCCCCATTACGTCTACCTGCATATCTGCGCATGTGCTACCGTACATCACCTTACTTAATCTCCTGATTGGTCTTTCTGTCCGCTCTGCCTCTTCGTTCAGCTGATATGCTAATTTTTCGACTTCGTGCTTAATTTTTGCACACCAGTGTATATTTGTATAAGAGTGCTAAGAAACGTTTCTTGTTTTTCAGATCTATTTCACGAGTACAGTCAGATACCAGCTTAGACAAGGAAATGGCTGCTCTTAATAAAGAAATGCAAAGTATTCAGATAGAATGCGAATCACTGGTTAGTAGGCATATTAGGGAACAGTGGTTCAGATGCCGAGCAGGACATCAGTATGTAGCATTCGGAGATGTGAGGACAGCGACAATGGAACACGTTGGCCCAATGTCATTTTCTCCTTCTGTCAAAAATGAGAAAGAAGCAATGGAATCCACTGAACCTCCTTTGCCTCCTCTGCCTTCAGAAAAAAGCCTCCTAAAGCACAAAAAGGAAAGTGTTGCTCAGTGGGTCAAAAGTGTCGCATTTGAAAACAAGGCTAAGCAAAAGAAACAAAATGTTGAATCACCCGTTAATTCTTGCTATCCAGGCGAAACCTCTGTTCGTGGTACTCCTCTTACGCTCGAACTTTCTCCAATACCTGATTGTAGCAATGGAAAGTTAGCTGAATATCAAGAACCATTGAAGACTTTTTCCACAGCCCCAACGCTTGTTGACAAAAGTACGCAGCTATGCGAAAGTGATGTTGCTAGTGTTGTTAGTTGTGATACGTGTCGGTACTGTCAAGTGCTCGTCCATCAAAAATCAATATCTAGGACTTCGGACCAAAATACTCGTTACCCTCCAAATGTTGATTACAGCAATCCTCAACCCCAGCAACAGTTTCAATGGTATAATACTTCAAGACCTATGAATAGGACAACTAGTAGTGATCCTTTCGTGGTAGAGCCCAGCAAATTGCCAATGAAGCCTGCCAGTGTTACAGGTAGAGATTTCATAGACCGTCAAATTGAAAGAAATAAAAATTACGTAACTTTTTATCCTTGTGCTACTATGTACACCAACCAAGAAAATTTGCAGCATACAATATGGCTTCAGCAGCAACTCTTTCGACAAGCATTAGCCCAAAAGCATTATAAAAAGGCAAGCACGATTCCAACTTGCGCTCCGCTCAATCTTAAGCAATGGAACCAAAAGTATCCCTCTTCTTCATTAGATAGTTTACCGCCTGCAAAAAATACAATTCATCCATCATTTCTGCCCACATCTACTGGTCTTACTCCGCAACAGCCTGATGTTACAGTCACGAAAAGTCCTGGTAAGCGTCATTTTTTTAATTACGAAGAGCAGATTTTTGATAGTTTTTATATGTTCAGTCATTAATCCTGCTTTTTATTGCCTTCCATATCTGGTCTTTAAAGTATGGATTTGCTTTAAAATTCATCTCGAAATTTTCAGAATGGTATTTGATCTGAAAATTTAAACAAAGTGCAGAATTCTTATTTAGTGCAGAACTGTGTACAAGTTATTATTTAGTGTAGAACTTCCGAACTAATGACTGTGTAATTGTCTTAATTTAGTAATTTGTGCGCATGGGAATATTTAGCTCCATTAATAAACATTGCTTATTTTGCCAGTAAGACATGTAACACATGATTGCGTGAAATGCCATTTTTCACATTAATTTACCATAAGACATTGTATTTCTCTGTTTGATTTTTATTAAATTAAGCAAATATTTTTATCAGATAGCCATCATATGCTTCACAATCCTTAATTAAACAAACAAAACAGTAAGCTTCTTTTTTTTTTAGTAATACTGTTTGAAATAACAATCAGTACAAGTATTTTTCTATTTAAAGTATTTATACTTTATTCTAATATTATATGGGTCTATATACAACATAGTTAAATTACATGCAGTCAACAAATTCAGAAATCTTTTATTTTATAAGGAATTAGAAAATATCAGTATACCCATAAACAACAAAGCAAATAAATAAGATAATTTGTGTACATGCTGAGCTACTGTATCATTTGAAAATGAAAGAATTTGAAGATATAAGACAAAACAATACTGGAAAATTTAAATTATAATTTAAATTATCTATGGGTAAATGATTCATATCGATAGTTTTGAAAATGGCATCACACGTTGAAAGCGCTTCCTGTACAGAAAGAGAAAGGTGATTACATGCTTTATTATGTAAAACAACTATTTATTATGTATACTATTTATTATGTTACTATTTAATATGTAAACAACTTCTAGTTGCATAATTTCTGAAAATAAGATAGAAAATTTTATGAAAATAGTTTCAGTACTTTGAGTGGTTTTTGTATTGATTGCAAAATTTAGACTTTCGTGGTGCCTTCGCAAAGCAAAACTTCCAGTTTGTAAAATGTTCATTAAGCTTTCCATCATTTAAGTAGAAAATTGTCATATATTAACGTGAAAATATTTTAATAGGTGTTTTTAAATGATAATTTCGGGGGATCAGCTACAAAGTTAACAACGAGTATTGCTCTATCTAGTCCATTAATAGATAAACGAGCAACTTATGTTTTGCAGTTGCTCCCTAACGTAGTTGAAAATTTTCTAATTTCTCTCAGTAATTGACTCTGGAATGTGGTCTGACCCAGTGAATTCATTCTAGAATACCTCATCGATATATGCACGTTAAAAGTCTGAAACATTTAGAATCTTTTAAACCGCATTAAATAATTTACTAACTGGACTTATGCTTATGGGAGTGTTACAAAAATTTATAATTACATTTACACAGCCCTTCTATTCCAATGTTGAAACTGTTTTCATATGAGATCATCATAAAATCCTCTTCCTTATTTTATAACACACTTTGTATATAAAAAAATCATTTATTTTTAACGTTAAATTCTTAATAAATATTTCTTTAGAAATACGTATATCCACTTTTAATTTCATGATTATGTGATTTTATGTCTTCCTTTTTTAAATTCTTAAAAGAAAAATTAAACGCAATTCACTTTCACAATAATTTTAATTGTGATTTCCATTATCTTCGTATCTTATATTAGAAACCTAAATTCGGTATTTGTTACTGTAAGTCTTAATAATTTACGTTCAGAAGTCTACTTCGTTTCAACCACATGCTTGTAATTCTAACTAAAGTATTTATAATTTTATAAAATGTTATACAAAACACTTCATGTCACTAATAGCTTTATATTTACTTACATTTATTTCATATTTGGATAACTACTGTTTTTAGTTTTGACAAGGAAAAGAATATTAAGAAATTTCAAAGTATTATTACGAGTTGGTAAAATTTTAATTTTAAAGCATAATATTAGAAAATATATTACGTTCATCAATAAATGAGTTGCCAGTTTACCAAGGAGAGTAAAAGCTTGACCACTGTAGAGAGAGGGTAATCATATTTTTCTATGGAAACCTTCAGTGTATTTTTTTAATTAAGTGATTAGTCATCTCCTTTGCAAGATTGTTGGCATCATTGTATTCGTATATTTTTTATTTATTTCAAGCAAATTCCCATTATTCTGAATTAATTTTAATCGCAACATCTTCGCATATGATATACGAATATGAATGAAGTAAGAAGGAATTATGTTATATACTGGCAGTACAAAGAAAGTAATCTTTTGGGAACTAAGCGTATTACTGAAAACCTTACTTGTGTTCTGACATTGACTTCCATCTTTTCAAAATAATTCTACTCTATATTTTTCTTTTCTTGTAGTTATCACACCAACTGAAGAGCCTAGTGATGGAACAAAAATGGAATGGAAAGTAAAACGACGGCCAGACGGGACAAGATACATTACTAGGAGACCAGTGCGCAACAAAATACTAAAAGAAAGAGCACTTCAAATTATGGAAGAACGTTGTGGGATTACGACAGATGATGACGCTGTGAGTGAATTGAAAATTGGCAGGTACTGGACCAGAGAAGAACGTAAAAGGCATTTAGAAAAAGCCCGTGACAGAAAACAGCGAAAGGAGATATTGATGAAATCGGTAAAAGTTCCCGAAGTTGGCGACAAAAATGAAGAAGATGATGATTCCAGCCAGGGAAAACGAGACGGTTTTGCTAGTACCGTTCTTTCAAAAAAGAAAGTGACTTATTATGGCAGCAGCCGAAGGAAACTTAGAATTCCGTCTACGCCATCTTCTACTATTCTAGATGATTGTCCAATCGCTGGTCCAAGTGGAACATTTGGTATACTCTCCGTAACTACTGTTTAATTCATGAAAAGTTACGTTTTAGCTAACAAGTTTGTTAACTATAACTCTGAAAAAATTACAATCGGATTTAATGCTCTATAGATCTGAGATGTTTTGAGAAAAATTGTCGCTCTTAGCATTAATTTCTCGTAAAAAATTCTGTTCCTATTCTGCAAAGCATCGACAACGATCTCTAGCAGGACATCCTGACTTCAAAAATATTAAACCATCGAATCATGAGTCGTCTTGAACCATATCATGTTTGGAATTATGCCTCCTTTACTAGTCACTTCTTTGGAAGAACAAAATTTATACCTCTTTCAAAAATATATCCCGTCCTGTTAGATAAACATCTTGCAAAATATTCATTGCAAGGTCCATTCTGACGTCCAGTATTGAACCAAACGCACTACAACCGATCCAAGAGTAAAATTACAAACGAAAAACACTTTGAGGTAAAAAGAAAACTAAAGCAAGCAAATTTAATTTTAGCGTATTGTGTATTAAACCTAAAAGAATCAAAAATTGTAAATTTTAGTTTAAATTGATTCTATTCCCCTCTTATATGCACTTACTTAATTCTATTTGACAATCATTACCATAGACTGCAACATCTTTTGCTAAAATCTGAATGAAATTTAATTTCGTATAAGCAGTCTGAGAAAATTTTAAAAATATAATTTGATTCTTGTTGTCAAAGCTGCGACAAAATAGCTATTTGAAATACAAAACTGTTTCTATATTTCATACAAAATGTACTGCATCATGTTAACATGAAGTAATAATTAAAGCAAAATAGTGTAAGTATCATCAAAGAAGGTAGCTACAACTTTTCCCGCCTGCCAACACTTTCACATAATTTCGCCCACCTTCTCGTTAGAATTGACTTAATTATGTTGTACGTCTTTTTGTTTCCATATATACAAAACCTTGTAGATTTAAAATAATTTAATAAGTTTTCTTTCAGCCTTGAAACTATAATTTTTGATTAAACTGTTAAAATAAGAAACCTCCTTAACATGGTAAAAATGTCAAATAAGTAATATTCTCTTGTTTCACAATACAAGAGAATAAACGGCTTCAGATATGGACTTATCATTCCCTATGTATGCCACTGAAACCATCATGTCGAAATGTGTTTTATTTTGTTTCTTGTCAACGATTTTCAGCTATTTCAATATAATAATCCATTTGGAGCTTTCGAAAAATAAGCATTTTGCAATCAAATGTTTTAATATTCTTAATATATTTTTCAATGTTTCTCTGTGAAAATGAAGGAGGTACTGTTGTTAGGTTTCTGTATCAATTTGTACATAATGTGTATATTTGAACGGCGAGTTGTTTAAGGATTTTATACCCTATTCACGCATTACATTAGCACGCGACATCAGACAAAAAAAAAAAATGAAGAATGTTTTCAAAAGTTAAAGCAATGTACAATTCTTTACAGATTCTAATACTGTTAAACAACTTCACGTATTTACATGAAGTTAGATTGCTGTTACGTTATGTAGTTTACTGTACTTATGATGTTATTATATTGTCTTTATTTTTAGAACTATGTTTTGAACAATACAAATTGAATTCCTAAAACCTCATTTAATGTGCACGAAAAATTTCAAGGAAGTTATTTGTACTCCGTGTATTTCCATAGTAAAAAAGAAAACAAAAGAAGTCGTAGTTTTTATCTTCACGTGTTAAATAGCTCTATATATTTGTTAATATGACTGCCGTATAATTGGTGTACAAATCCAATTGCTGTTTTTAAAATCTCCGTACTGGGTAAATAAAAAGGAAATGTTTTAAATGTGTGTCCTTTCTTTTCCATTTAGCTTTATGGCTCATAACTAAACATTCTAAAAAGCTGCAGTAATGCAATAATAATGATTTATTGAGGAACGAATATTATATTTCAAATAACCCTGAGAGATCAAAAGCCATGAGATATAAATTTAATAACTAGATTAAGCCATCGCCAATGAGCCACTCGTCGAGACATGGAGCCAACAAGCTGCCTTTAGAATACTGCAGTAGTGCTGACCGCAAATTCTGCATCATAGGACACAATAATGCTGTAGTGAATGATGCTGGATACCAGAATCATAAACTTACTTCCATTTTGTCTTGCAACACCAAGGTTAGGTGTCTACTATAAGAGTAGTGCGGGAGTGTGGAAAGTGCTCCAGTCTACCTTCTGACAATAAGAGAGTGTGTAGAGACATTAGGTATTTTTAGAAGCAAGCAAGATGGAAAATTACCAACCACCTTCGCCGGGAATCGAACCACGGACCTCTGAAATACCGGCCCAGTGTGCAGAACCACTACACCACGAAGGCACTCTGGGAAAGCAGGAGAAATACCTTATATACTCCCCTTTTTAAAGTGCGACTGGGGTTTTTTAGGGGACCCAATCGCCAAATCCTGGGTGTAGAGAAACCTCATCCAACACCCTTTTAGCTCGGCCGCCACTTGTAGAGTCATTAGGATTTTTTAGAAGACAGAGAGATGAAAAATTTGCAACCGCCTTCGCCGGAAATCGAACCACGGACCTCTGGAATACCGGCTCAGCGTGCTACCGTTACACCACGAAGGCACGCTAGGGAGAAATGCCTTATATACTCCCCTTCTTAAAGGGCGACTAGGGGTTTAGGGGACATAGTCGCCAAATCCTGGGTGCGGAGAATCATCATCCACAGCCCTTTTAGTTCAGGCGCCACTTGTAGAGTCATTAGGATTTATTGGAAGCAGAAAAGATGAAAAATAGCAAATGCCTTCACCGAGAATCGAACCACGGACCTCTGGAACCGGCCCAGGGTGCAGAACCACTACACCACGAAGGCACGCTGGGAAAGCAGGAAAAATACCTTATTAGTGATACCTTGCGTTTTTATGTTTATGTTACTCTTTCAACAACATAATCCTCGAGAACCATAAAAGGTTCTGCCATAATGTCATTGAATACATACCTGCCAATGTTTTAAAGGAATGAGAGTTTTCAGTGCAAACCAGATGAATATCTGTTAGCAACACAGAGCTCCCCAAGGTTACTAAAACTACGAGGTTTGCTCCCCCTACCAGGAATCTTTCAACTTGGAACCCCACTAGTTCTTCGTCTGCTCCAAAGCTCTATTTTCGTTTCTCCAACTTCTGTAAATGAAATGACGTCATTGAACAAAGAGCATAACCTTGTCTATCTATTGAGCCTGGAGCCGCCTTCGACCTGAAAAGCGTTTTAAAAAAAAAGGAAATGTCTGTAGTTTCATGATGCTCATTCTACACTAACGCGGTCGTCATCGCAAAACCTTGATCATTTAATTATTACCTTGATCATTAAAATTGAAACCTTGATCATTTAACAGTGCTTCTCAACTCCACCCTTTTACTATCCATTTCCGTTATTCTTTGGGCTATTCTTAATATATGAGCTTCTTGTTGACGTGCAAATAATGGGAAATGAGAAGATTATCGAGAAATGAGAAGGTTATCGTCTACAAAACTAGATGAAGAACAGGTAGAGATGGGTGGTTCTTTCAGAAACATTTGAAATACACACGTATTAAAATTTTACAGTGTGTTTAAGAATATAACCCATCTGGTCGACGATGACAATTAACCGTGACAGCCGACGATGATTTCGCTCTGGTCAACAAAATTAGAAGAACACCGTTATCAGATGATTTTATTCAAAGTAGTTAAATAAAATTTTTTTAACTATCAAAATATCCCTCTGAGTAATGAAAAAATATCTAAATAGAAAGCAGTATGAAATGCAAATTATCCGCAATGACGTCAAATTTAACATCGACGTAAAACGAATGATTCTTTCAGAACTGTATTTTTGTACCTAAAAGGAGCAGTTTGTTGCGCCTGTCTCGTGTTATTGTCCGGCTCACCAGCGGTCGAGCGGCGAAATTGCTGAACACTGGTAGTTCAACCCTGATTCAAATTCCGATGAACATAGGCGTTTCTTTGTTTTCATCATGTGTAACGTAGATACGAGACGCCTTCCCTTGAAAGTTTTCCAACGATGCTTCCTTAAGCAGATAGCCTTCGCGTTCTTTGTCGTAATCGAACTACGTTAGCATATCGAATAAATAGGATTTTCAAGAATTTGTGTAGGAAGTTTGGAAGCCTGTCGAAGTCAACCATACCGTACCGAATAAGCCGAAGTGATATGCATCTGTTGTACCGAATAAACTGAAGTGTAGTTGCAGACTTGTGAATTCACTTCCAAGAGACTGGAAATATTCGAAGATATCCTGATCAAGGTCGCTGACAGCTACCACCTTTAGATAATTACCGTTTATTTATCAAGTAGCCGCTATGTAGCCAGCCTTCGTCTGGGTCTTAAATGTACTAGAAAAATGCCTGAAGGGTACAGCAACATTAAATTTAAAAACTGCACACAATTTTACTCTGCAGAACAACTTTACCAAAAACAAACAAACAAAAAACACAAATTTCAATAAAAATGTATTATGTATAAAAAAATTACAATTAAATAAGCAATATTCCTTAACACAAATATTAATTATCCTGATAAATAAATTAACCAACTTCTCGTTGCCTTTTCTAGAGAAACGTCCAGTATCCAAGAGAAACATTAAATTTAAAACTGCACAGAATAATCGCCCTCATTTTTCCGAATACGAACAGTTCTGATATCAGCAACAATGGTTGAGTGTCGTTGTTGCTGATATAATGAGAGAAAATTATCGATTTGATGCGATTTCATCAAAAAAATTAATAAATAAATAAAATAAAAAACTCATTCGAATTTTGAAAAACTCGCTTTGAGGTGCACTGGCTCTTGTGTAGATGCACCTGTGTACCAAATTTCGTAGCCCTGGGTTTATTAGCTTACGCGCAGCTCGAACGAAAGACACACAGATAGACAGAGTCTTCCTTTTATATATAGAGATAGATAATAGTCCTTCGGAACGGATGCCATCCAGCTGGAAAGACAAAAAAAAAAAAAAAAAAAAAAAAAAAAAAAAAAAAAATTCCACCCAACTATAAAGAAATCTTTTAAAGGCAACCGGAAGAAACGCATTGATGCAAAAACTCCCACATTCTGTTACGTACGTTAGACTCTACACGTGTACTGGTTGTTTGTGTCCTAAAGGCTTCCCAACATCGTAAGTCTTAAAGAAACTATGATGAAGAACACTGTGATTGATGACCTTCCAAAACTGGAACCAAGTTGTTTTCTCTTTTCTTCGTGAGTCCGGATTCGGCCTAGAACCAGGTAATCGTAATTGGAAAAAAAATCATCTTCCGGCACATTTTAGCACGTGGCAAAAAATGCATATCATGTTTTCCTAGTGACGGTTTACTTGTTTGAACAAAGATACGCTTGCTGAGCATACTGACATGTGCTTTATCTGGAATAGGTCTTTCATCGCTCAGATATATGGGAATAAAATTCTTAGAACTTGGTCGTACCTTTTATTGTTTTCATCATATGTATAATCATTTTTATGCATAACAACGCCTGTCGCTTTAAATTTCTTTTTGTTTCGATTTCCTTGATTGCGCAAAAGCACTCGAGGGCTATCTGCCTAAGCAGAGGAATGCCTACGTGTAGGATTTTCTAAGTGAAATTAGCTCGTATCTACATTACACATGGGGAAAACCACGAAAGCTCCAATGCAGCCTGTCCGTTAGCCTGGAAACGAAGCCAGGTCGAAGTCAGCTATTTTACCGCTTGGCCGCTTGTGGGGCCACCGTTGTCATTCGATCTCTTGTAAACCAGATGCTTGAAGAAGAAACATCAGAGTATATGCAGTGACTCTCATGCTTCCCAGATTTGAATCCGAAAGAATATGCTTGTTGTACATTAAAGCGTTGCAGCAAAATCACATCCTCCGTTGATGCATTTTAAGTTGCAAAATTCTTTTCTTGAAAAGTGAAGAAAAGGTCCCTAGTACTTCATAGACCACCCTATTAATTTAATGCCTCGCAATTGTGAAGCTGTCTTGCCGAGTCGACGGGGTACACACCTTATTGGACATTATACAATTGACAAAGTTCGCCAATGTTTATTTTTTCTTGTCTAAAAGTCGAGAGATATAGTAACCATTTATGACACTTGCTGAGTTTCCTGTAAAATATTCTTTGCTTATATTAAAACATAATTTATATCTGTTCTATCCTTCCAAAAAATATATTTTTGTGTTGTGTTGCATATTTATGAACAATTGCGTGCTCTGGCTAAATCACCTATTCTCCTAATTTCGTTGAGCAGTGCATATATTAATTACAAACATCGCTCCATTCATTGGTTTTCATCCAAGAAGATGTCAAATCTGAAGATAAACGTTCGATAATGTAAACCTGGGAAAATAGCTCTCATATAGTCTTCTATATTGCATGACCTTCTTTCAGCATCTACTCCATATACAAAGGCTCACCAGTGGCTGGGGGCTTTAAACTCCTGAAAACTGTCTAGCTGCATGGGCATTTTCATAATTTTTCTCATAAGTACTGTACGTGCTAACCAGTTTCCGTTTGAAAGTCCTCCATTAAAGCAACCCTTAATTAAGAAAGACAGCTCTCATGCCGTATTCAAATAAACAGGTAAATCAATTCTATATCCAGAATCTGATAACTTGCGATGGATGTTCTCTCATGCCAACAAGCTGCTGCTGTGATATTATATGCCGTACCGTGATTATAAAATTTCATTGAGCGAAATTTATTATAACTAGACATATTTGTTTTCAAATGGTAACTGTAGTAATTAAGTTTTTTAATGACTAACCCTCCTTCAGCAAATTTCAACGCAGGTCCTCTTTGTAGCTAAAA